ACGGTAGGTAGTAGTAGGTAGAGGTAGTACGAGTAGTAGAGGTAGTAGAGTAGAGTGAGNGAGAGAGTAGAGAGAGAGAGAGAGAGNGAGGAGAGAGAGAGAGAGATGCAAAGGCATTTTATGAAATATTTTAGAGGAGATGGTTCAACATTTCATCGAATATATGGAAGGCATCTCTTTAGGTAACATACTTTGAAATCTTAAAACTGATAAAATTACTGGAATTTGAGTCCAAACATTTCATTGAGCATTTAGAGGGTATCTTATTTTCTCTCTCATGAGCAAGATGGCATCTCTTACATGTACATGCAAAGTTCATGCTATCCATCTCTCTTTCTATATGTGTATGTGTGTGCACGTGTGCATGTGTGTGTGTGCCTGCATGGGCAGGGGGTGGGGAGGGAGTGGGCTCATATGTGTGTGTGTGTGTGTGTTAACTAGGCATCTATAAGAGGAAGTCTCGTATGTTGTTTGCGGATGACATTTTTGATTGGTGAGACTAGAGGTAGTGTAAATGCAAAGTCAGACTTTGGAGGGGTGCTTTAGAATCTAAAGGTTTTAAAATTAGCCAGACTAAGACCAAATAGGTGGAATGCAAGTTTAGTAAATGGGAACAAAAATGGGGAATCGGTTAAGATTAATGGCCTAGAAGTACCTAAAAAAGATGATTTTTGATATCTTGGGTCGATAATCCATGAGAAAGGAGAGACTGAGGAAAATGTTTCTCACAAAATTAGAGTTGGGTGGACGAACTGGAGATGTGCTTCTGGAGTCGTATGTGATCGTCGCATGCTCATGAAACTGAAGGGAGTGGGCAACAAACCACATAACTGTAGAATGAATGTAGCTGAGATGAGGATGTTGAGATGGATGAGTGACAAAAGACAATGATAGAATTCGGAATGAATATATTGGAGGGAACTTATGGGTAGCTCCAATAGGCATTAAAATGAGGGAAAGTTGACTTTGGTGGTTTGGACATGTGCAGCGTTGATTTGGAATAACACTGGTTAGGTGAGATGATTTGGTTCAAGTGGAAGGCTCTAAAAGAGCAAGGGGGAAGCCCAAAGGACATGAATGGAAGTAGTGAGAAAAGATATTGTAACTTATGGTCTTACTAAGAGTATAGTTCTTGATAGAGTGGAATGACGGAACATGATTCATGTAGGTATATGGATGGACAGAGATGTATATATGTGTGTGTGTGTGCGTGTGTGTATGTAGGGTGGGGTTTGTATAAATTGCACACCTTATAATATACAAGCAAGGTGCACCTCTAAATTTTGCCAGAAGATGCAGTGCCTATGTCGGAAGCCTCACGATGGCTTGCAAATTCATGTTCAATCGTGATTATAAAATTTAAAATTTTAAAAATGATGCAAAACGAGTAGATTTAGAAACACTTGAAAATAGATGGTCTAGATAATTTATTATAAAATGTATTATTTTTGGGACTTGACATTCTTTTCTTTTTTATATCCATACATCTTGAGGTCAAGGTAATCAATTAAAAGGTTTTCTAACTTTTGAACACTCTTTTAACTAGATTTTTGAGGTGTACCTTATTTCTATAATATACGTTTGCACTTTTCACACACACATACACACACGCGTGCGTGCACAAGCACACGCACATGCACACTTTTCTATCCATGACACTTCTATCCCTGCCCTTTTGAGTCTTCCCCTTACCCTTTTAAAACCTTCTACTTGAACCAAATCACCCTTTGTAATTGATGTTGTTCCAGGTCGATGCTGCACCTGGCCACACACACACACACACACTTCTATCCATGTCCTTTTGTGTCTTCCCGTTGCCCTTTTAAAACCTTCCACTTGAACCAAATCACTCTTCGTAACTAATATTGTTCCAGGTCGACGCTGCACATGGCTAGAACACCGAAGTCTACTTTCCCTCATCTTATTGGAGCTACCCCTAAGTTGCCTCTTATGTAGTCATTTTAAATTCTACATTTCTTGTCTTGCCACTCATCCTAACATCCTTATCACAACCATATTAATCTATGCATATGTTGTTTCTTGACTGCCCAACATTCCATCTCATAAAGCATGACTGGTTTTACAACCATGCTATAGAACTTCCCTTTCAGTTTCATTAGTATGAGATGGTCTCATAAAACTCCAAAAGCGCATGTTTTATTTTCTTATAAATTACCTATCTAACAAACAGAAAGCTAGCTGGCTTTGTTATATATCTTTAGCTTTGAATAGTCTGTGAAAGATGAGGGATACTGCTTTTATGAATCCTTGAACAGCTAATAGAGAACAATAAAGTAACCAGGTTTTAGTTTGGGCGATGTCTTATGCATAGTGAAAGATGTTCAAAGAATTCATAAAATATATATCTTAATGATAGAAAATTATTTTTAGAATTTCATTGCAATTGTTAAGGTCCCAAATCATCCCTTTCCTTGGGCTTTTCATGATTTTATCCATCCTGATTTTGAATCTTATACACAAATGCATAATGGGTCTATTTTGGTTGATTTCATCTGGCATCTTTACCTCTGTGGACACGCTAGTGTTCTTCTCATTGCTTTTTCTTACTTGCAGATCTGAACATTGAACTGTGTTTGACTCGATTTATATGTAAAACTTCAGAGCAATAATGGCAGAGTATGCTGGTGCTGTCCTTGGAGTTTTATCGGCATTCTTATATGGACGATGGGGTCGCCTCTGGAAAAAGGTGCTTCTCGGGTTTGAATAGTCTGTAACATGAATCAATGTTTGGTTTTTTACATTTGATTATTTCTTTAGTGCCCTCAGTGTTCATTCATAAGTGAAATCAATGCTTTCAAGGTCTCTTAAGTACTTTGTAATACCGAAACTAGGATGTTCGAAATATAGATGTTATGAAACATTGAATTTGTGACTGTCATTTGATTTATCTTTTAGTAACTAAACCAATGGACTCTGTAATGATCATCCTATAGCCACAGAAGTGATAGACTCTATATCGCCATCACTGTGAAACTAGGATGATTGAAATATAAATGTTATTAAACGTTCAATTTGCGACTCTCATTTGACTCATCTTTTAGTATCTAATCTAATGGACTTTGTAAAGACCATAACCAGTGAAGTGGAAGTTGGAGGCAGAGTGAGACCCACCAGATGGTTCTCACTATATCTCCATCACCGTAAGTCTATCACTTTTGTGGCTATAGTGATGACCCAATGGATTCAACAGTCTATTGGACTATTAAAATACAGTTTTATGCCACAGTTAACAGTTTCAAAAAGAAAATACAGTTTTATGCCTATCAACTATATAGGTTATTGGACTATGAATCCATGATCTTAGTCATTATACTCATGCTATTGATGCCTAGTTGGGATTTCAATTCCACATGTATATGACTTTTCTTGTATGCTAAAAATTTAAAATATCTTGAAATATCAAGTTTCAAAAGCAACGCCTATGTCAAGTTCTACCATATCTATCTGGTTTCCATAAAAAGACTTATTGATGTGAGCTCATTGTAATGGTATATCTAGATTTTGTGAAAAGGCTTTTGATATATGAATGTTCTCTAGGTGGGTGGGCTCCTTGCAATTATGGCAGCATTCTATCTTTTGTCTCAAGGGTGGGCTACAACAACATACTCCCCATTCCATATCCTTCATACTTATTTCAAATTTCATCTGCAAATAACGTGGTAGTAGCAAGCGGTGTTAAAAAAAATGGACCGCCCAGCTCCTAGGCAGCCGCTTAGGCGGTTCAGAAGGCCAGGGCGCATCGCCCAGGTCTAGGTGGCCAAACTGGGTGGTGTTCTCTGGGCGGCCGCCCAGGGCCTGCTCCCCTGCTCAGAGGAAGAAATGTTTATTTATTTATTTATTTGTTTTTTTTTTTTTATTCTTTTTAAAGATATAAAATGTTAGAAGGAGGGGTTTTAGGTTCACTTGAAACCTAAACCCACAAAAACCCCTTTTAGAGAGAAAGAAACCTCCAGAAAACTACATTTCATTGGATCGAAGTGTTTCTCAAAGTTCGGAGTTCGTGCAATCAAAGTAAGTGCAAAACTTTATTTTTTAGATTGTTTGATTTATTTTGAGATGTCTTCTTTAGGAGTTAGTCGGAGTGGAGATCCGGGTTTCGAAGTATGGATACATTCCGAATGCAAATGATAAAAATTGCATTAGATGCAATTTTTGTTGGAAAGATATAAAAGGAGGCATAAATCGGTTTAAGAAACATCTTACCGGTATTAAGGGGGATGTTGCTCTTTGTAAAAATGTTCTTGAAGCTAACAGAGAGGAGATTAAGCAATATATAAGTTAGGTAAAACAAAAACAAGAACAAAATCCTTGTCATAGATCTATTTCTGCTACCTCAGGAGAAATGATCCAGGTTGGAAGTATGGGTACAACCCAAAGCCAAATGATAAAAATTGTATAAGGTGTAATTTTTGTGAAAAAGATACCAATGGGGGTATTAGCCGATTCAAGAAACACCTTGCTGGTGTTAGAGGTCATGTTGTTTATTGTACAAAGGTTCTTGAAGCAATTTGGGATGAGGTTAGACATCTTCTGAATTTAGAAGAACCAGAAAAGGATAAAAATAAGCCTTGTTCTATGGAAGTATCTCCTCCAGGTTCTAGTCGGAGTGGTGATCCGGGTTGAAAGTATGGTTATAACCTGAATCCAATGACAAAAATGATACTAATGGGGGTATTTACTAGTTTAAAAAATACTTGCCGATATTAAGGGGGATGTTGCCTTGTGTAAAAATGTTCCTGAGGCTACCAGGGAGGAAAGTATACAATATTTGAGTTCAGAGAGGCACAGAGAAAAGGATAGAGCAGCCAAGACTCCTAAGGCCTCATCTGCACAGACTGTACATACGAGTACGAGGAAGGTAGAAGAAGCAGAGGAGGAAGAGGTAGATTCAGAGAAACAGAGGAGGACGAGCGTTATTGTAAGGGCTCAGACTCTTCTGCATGGATTCCTAACCGTCGTGTGTGTAATTCTTGCCTGACCGCCGCTTGCGTAATTCTTGACCTTTCTGTGTGTGTAAATTCCTGACCGCCGTGACTACTGTGTGTGAGTTTTTCTGGCACCGCGTGTGTTCTATCTAGCCGCTATGCGTAACGTTTTACCACAATATGTGGTTGAATAGGGTGGTCCAGGGGGGGGCTTCCTCTTCATTTTCTCCCCGTTCTTTTCCTCACCCATGTGATGCCACCTCACCCATATGCTACCACCTCATTGCCACCTTACCCCCATGCATGTGTGCCACATCAGCTCATGCATGTGGCCACCTTCTCTCTCTTTTTGCTTGCAAGCGACTTGGCCTTGCATGCAGCCCTCTCTCTCTCTCCCCCTTTAATTTATAAAAGGCCCTCCCCCAACCCATTCACCTTTGCTCTCTCTCTCTCTCACCCACGTTTTCCCTTTTTAGACTTTAGAACCTTAGGCATTGAAGCCACTCTAAGGAACTTGACTAGGGAAGGGAGTTGGAATCCCATGGTGCATGTAAGTAGGATCTTCCCCATGCTTTCATGCCTTGTGTGATGCATGTTCAATCTATTGCTAAAGTATGAAATTGATTTGTGTTTTTTAGTGATGCATGCTTGATTTGTTGGTAAGAACATGAAGTGTGATTATGCATATGCTTTTCAGATTATGCATATGCTTGTGAAAATGGGGGTGGAGTTATGTTGTCTAAATCTGGTTAAGAATTCCTGCAATTTTCCAGAAATCAGTATTCTCTGTAAATTGTACTTTTTGCCGACTTTTATATGTCCAAATGAGTCCAAATTTGATTCAAATAAAAGATGGGTGAGTTCTCTTCAATTGTTCTTAAGGTTGCAGAGTGAGATTCTTTATGAATTGGGAGATACGCTACATTTTCCAAAAGAATGTCACTTGAAATTTTGAGATTTTCCAGAAAACTACGCTCTCTGTGCATTGCACTTTTCACCAACTTTTATATGTCTAAATGAGTTCAAATTTGATTCAAATAAAAGATGGGTGAGTTCTTTTCAATTGTTTTTAAGGTTGCAGAGTGAGATTCTTTATGAATTGGGGATAGGATACATTTTTCAAAAGAGTGTCACCTGAAATTCTAAGATTTTCCAGAAAACTACACTCTCTGTGTATTGCACTTTTCACCGACTTTTATATGTCCAAATGAGTTCAAATTTGATTCAAATGAAAGATAGGTGAGTCCTCTTCAAGGTTTCTTTTGGTTGTAGGGTGAAATTCTTCATGGTTTGAGACCTATGCCATTGATATGATATATGTAATGTGATATGTTATAAGTATTGTGATTTCATATGTGAGCATGGATTTGCCACATAATGTGATATAATGTGTAAGCATAATATGATATAATGTGTAAGCATGATGCGATATGTGTGTGAGCATGGACTTGCCGCATGATGTGTGTGATATAATGTGTAAGCATGATGAGATATGTGTGTGAGCATGGACTTGCCGCATGATGTGTGATATAATGTGATAAGACATGTTTATGAACTAGTAAATGTGCATGGTTGTATTAAGATGTGCTTGTGGTGCAATGAATGTTTACGATACAGTGAATGTTTATGAAATATTAAATGTGCATAATTGCGATAAGGCATGCTTATGAGCTAGTGAGTGCTTATGAAATAGTGAATGTTTATGAAATATTGAATGTGCATGTTGTAATAGGACATGCTTATGAAATGAAAGTATGCCCTGAAATGAAAGTGTGATCTGAAATGTGTATGTACTATGTGCTATGTGATAATGTGCATAGTATCCCTTATCACATAGCACATACACATTTTAGATCAAACTTTCATTTCATAAGCATGTCCTATTACAAAATGCACATTCAATATTTCATAAGCATGTCCTATTACAAAATGCACATTCAATATTTCATAAACATTCACTATTTTATAAGCACTCACTATCTCATAAGCATGCGTATCGCAATTATGCACATTTAATATTTCATAAACATTCACTGTTTCGTAAACATTCATTGCACCACAAGCACATCTTAATACAACCATGCACATTTACTAGTTTATAAACATGTCTTGTCACATTATGATTACACATTATATCACACATCGTGCGGCAAGTCCATGCTCACACATCATATCTCATCATGCTTACACATTATATCATATTATGCTTACACATTATATCACATTAAGTGGTAAGTCCATGCTCACATATGAAATCATAGTACATATCACTTATCACATATCACACTACATATATCATATCGGTGGCATAAATCTCAAACCATGAAGAATTTCACTCTACAACCAAAAGCAACATTGAAGAGGATGACTCACCTATATTTCATTTGAATCAAAGTCGGTGAAAAGTGCAATGCACAGAGAGTGTAGTTTTTTGGAAAATCTTAGAATTTTAGGTGACACTCTTTTGGAAACTGTAGCCTATCTCCCAATTCATAAAGAATCTCACTCTGCAACCTTAAGAACAATTGAAGATAACTCACCCATCTTTTATTTGAATCAAATTTGAACTCATTTGGACATATAAAAGTTGTTGTAAAGTGCAAATGCACATAGAGTAGTTTTTTGAAAAATTTCAGGTGACACTCTTTAAAATTTCAGGTGACACTCTTTTGAAAAATGTAGCCCATCTCCCAATTCATAAAGAATCTCACTCTGCAACCTTAAGAACAATTGAAGAGAACTCACCCATCTTTTATTTGAATCAAATTTGGATTCATTTGGACATATAAAAGTCGGTGAAAAGTGCAATTTACAAAGAATACAAATTGCAAGAACTCTTAACCAAATTTAGACAACATAACTCCACCCCCTTTTTCACAAGCATATGCATAATCACACTTCAATTTCATGTTCTTACCAATAAATCAAGCATGCATCGCTAAAAAACACAAATCAATTTCATACTTTAGCAATAGATTGAACATGCATCACACAAGGCATGAAAGCATGGGGAAAATCCTACGTACATGCACCATGGGATTCCAACTCCCTTCCCTAGTCAAGTTCCTTAGAGTGGCTTTAGTGCCTAAGGTTCTAAAGTCTAAAAGGGGAAAACGTGGGTGAGAGAGAGAGCGAAGGTAAATGGGCTGGGGGAGGCCTTTTATAAATTAAGGGGGGAGAGAGAGAGAGGGCTGCATACAAGGCCAAGTGGCTTGCATGCAAAAAGAGAGAGAGAAGGTGGCCACATGCTTGAGCTGATGTGGCACACATGCACGGGGTAAGGTGGCAGCACATGGGTGAGGTGGCATCACATGGGTGAGGAAATGAAGAGCAAGTCCCCCCCTGGACCACCTTATTCAACCGCACACCGCGGTAAAACGTTATGCATGGATGTTAGACATAACGCACGCGTCTCCAAGAAAACACACACACAGTGGTCAGGAATTTACACACACAGAAAGGTCAAGAATTACGCACGCGGCAGTCAGGCAAGAATTACGCACACGACAGTTAGGAATTCCATGCAGAAGAGTCTGGGCCCTGACAATTATATTGAAGAGGGAGATGACTCTAATGATGATGGCCTCGACTCTGATGCATATGATGAGGCTTTCCCTATTGATATTCCTTTTGATGATGACGACTGAAGACTCTTGGTGTTGAGTGTTAACTGTTTTGTTGAGTCATGAGTGTTGGCTTTTGTTAGACTGTATAGTTTCTATATATTTTTGTTGTGTTGAGTGTTGACTTTTAAAACCTACACTTGTATGGTTTTACAGTTTACTGTTTTAACAATATGGATTATCAAAATTCTCTTCTCGATGTCTGTCTTTTTTTTTTTTCAACTTGGAATATGGTATATTGGTATGTTTTTTTCAATTGGGCAGCCGCCGGTTCTGGGCGCTCGCCTAGGCGCTGGGCGGCTTGGACCCCTCAGGCCTCCTAGGACCCACCTAGCGCTTTTTGATACACTGGTAGCAAGGGATATAACTTTGCTAGCCAAGATATTATACATTTATTTCAGTGGTGCAACCTCTCTAAAGAATTCATGCTTCGCCAAGTTGGTATGCTTAACTATGAGATACCTTCCAAAGGTAGTCTGGGAACAGATTCGAGTACTCAGACAGATCAACCCTTGGAAATTAAAACAATGACAGTCCCAATCATTGCTGGAATTTTATCAGCATTGAGACGGGTGATTGCTCGACGTGTTTCACTCAAGGTATGTTTCATTAGTTTATTTTTTTGGCGATTCTATCTATGAAATTTATGAAGGGATTTTACCCATTCCTTACTTGGTATCCAATTTTTGTCTTTCAGAATCAGCTGAAAAGGCGACTGCATGCAATAACAATTACTTCCGCTACTTGTTTTCTCTTTCCTTTGGCCATGTGGGAGATGCTTTTAGTAAGTTTGATTGCCTTATTTCGGCATATTCATTGGGAAGAGCACCCTGCATTAAATCTTTTTTTGTTGATGATTGCCAATTACCATTATTGTGTTCCCGAACCGGGTCGCCTAAATATGCATGCCTCTATTGTGCTTTTCTTTGGAAACCATTTATTGCGAACTGGATCGCCTAATATGCATTTCTTGATTGTGCTTTTCTTTGGAGACAATGTAGGGGCCAACTGCTGAGCGGGGCATAAAGCCTTCTTTCCCAACTTGGGCTTATTTGAGCATGACTCTTTTTGGGATCATTTTTGTCTACTATGTTGACAATATTGCTGAAGAGAGGTAATGCCTTTATAGTTTTCCATCAAACGTTAGTCACTATCTCATCAAATGGTTTTCTATAATATTTCATCTGATGACTTTCTATAATTTTTTACAAGTTATGGTCTCCATTTAGTTATCTTTAAGGATTTAGTTATGAGTGGAAGGCTTGCACGAATTGTTTGGAAAGTAAGGATAGTGTTAGGCATCAAAGCTCGAGTTTTGAGGCTCAAGGTAAAAGGTGAAGAGAGCTATTGGCAATGAAATGGGCTGAATCAGTTGGCTCAGGTATTGCAAGATGCTAAATTCATTTAAGAAGTGGCCTTGATGTTAATTTAATCTAGTAGTGTAATTATTTGAAGCTTGACTTCAATAATTAATTTGGTTATTAGGAGTGGCATTTCAGCTGTAAATCTGTCTCAGAGATCAAAGGGGAGTTTTTATTATCTGGATCAACAATGTCAACTTTGGCTGTGAGATGACTAATTCTGGTTCCTGGAGTTGGCTGTGATTTCCTTGGGTGTGCAGTATTTAATGGAGAATGTTAATTACTATGGGAAAGTATACTAAGTCCATTAAATTAGGGTAGTATAATAAGTGTTCATTTGGGTCATTGTTCATGAAATGATGCACAGCAGTGGAGTGCAATCCACTAAAACAGGAGATGGCCCTAACGGTGGCTCCTACTCTGCATCGCTGTCCATTTCAGTGGACCTCATCACTGTCCATTTAAGTGGACAATGATGGCCACAATGGGATATGGTTTTTCAAAGTCTATTGGATTACAGTAGACTACTTTCCCTAGGTGTGATTGGGAATGACTAGGTCCTTGGATGACAACCATGGATAAGCTTTTCCCTTTCATCATGGCAAGCTCCTTTTTTTTGTAGTTTATTGGGTAATGTGCTGGCTCTTAATAGAGCAAAATGGCGGGCCCAATTAGTTGGGAAAAGGCTTTGACGATGATGATGATGATTGGATAATGTGTTGGGCAGTGTCTTGCCTAGAAGCAAGCATTGATTAGCTCTTTCCTCTTAGTCGTTATTCACACTGGTTGGTTGCAAACCACAAGATTGCATTCTTTCTGGTTTCTGCAGGACAACAGAACTGGTGTTGAGAATTCCGGGGCATTTTTGGACCATATGCTACTGAGGTTAGTTGATGCTATGGTTCAGGGGCCCTTTATTCTTCAATTTGGAGTTGATGTGTCTCTTAAATCTCTTTCTTATTTATTGAATAGTTTAATAACTGATAAACTGGAGAACTGGAATCAAGACACAGCTGAGCTACCCAACTTAGAAACCTTAGGTTGAATTGTACCCAAGTCAAGTGAAGTCTATCGAGTCTGTAATTAGACATGAACTTAATTAAAACTGATTGATAATTTTCTTGCTGATCACACTCTCTTTCTCATTGTTTAGAGTATGTTTTTAGACCCTTTAAAGCCTGGAATGGTGGTTTCTATACTTGTTTTCATTGCCTAGATGAAGCATTTTCTAGTTTTAATGGTGGAATTTAAATATACTTGTCAGTTATGTTTGCTAGAAATATGTGTAATTGTTTTCTGAATTCCTTTCATTTCCTTTTTTCGTAAGGGGGATTTGTTTCATGGAACTTCCATACACTTCGGAAGCTGTGGCTTCCAAATCAATGCTGCATTTCCAACAAATGCAGGGAACTGCAATAGTTCTGGAAGCTCCAGCTTCCAGTAAACAAACACTCAACCTTTTAGCAAGGAAAGGTGGAAGGCGGAGGTAGGGGGAGAGAGAGGGAGGGAGCCATGTGCATAGGCACACACATAGGTAGTCACATGGATTATAATATTCCTGTCTTATTTGTTATTTTTTATATTTTGTTAATTTGTTGCAAGGAAACTTACACACTACCTGTTCCACCTTGCCTTGGTCTAAAGCACCTTTATGCCTCTCCTCTTTTGACAACTTTCCTCTAATTGCACTTTAAATATCTGGTGTATTTTATTGTACTGCATTTTTTGTGGATAAACATAGTTGCACATTATCTAGTGACTTTCTATATTGCACTGAGAGTAAGTTCATGTGTGCTGAGTGGTTCTTGTGGTCTTCGGAATGAAATTGTAGTTGATGGAACTCTTGTTTGGCTTCAGGTTGCATCTAGTAGTTTCTTCTCCTCGACATCTGATGGTTACTGGCATTTGTATTATTGTTTTGGAGATTGCATACAAAAGGGACTTCTCTATTCTTGGTTTCCTGATTTGCTCCCTGTTCTTGGGTGTGGGTATGTATCACTGGAACTTTTCTTTTTCTGATTAACAAATAAACCAAATTGCAGCAATGTTTCTTATGCTTTTATTTCTTATTTCCAACAATAATATTTATGGTTTTCTGTAAATATCACGCACTGCTTAGATTCATGGATTTATGCCACGTTGAAAGGAGCTTGTGGGCTTTGCTCCCTTTAGGTTTGATCTCCGGTGTACCAGACCCCCTTATGCTGGTTATGAAAGAAATGGGCACAACCTCCATAAGAATTCTAGGAAGAACTCTGTTGATGATCTTATACGAGCTGCGCCTCTATTTCAGAGGTTTTATTTGATCCTGTGCAAGCATGCTGACTACTTTGTGGCTTGCACTGGTTCTTGACAAACAACATTTTACATGCTGCTTGTGTTATGTTTGTGAATTATTTAAGGCAGACAACTGCTAAACAATTCTATAGCAAGGTGTGTGAGTTTATTCTCTTGGAAACTCATAGAACTGGCATTGTCATGTACCACGCTTCTCTCAGGAGGTCTATTGTGCCATAGTCCAGTTTGCTGGGTGAATGCTTTAGAAGCATTCACCGTTCTTCCAAATTAGTATCATATTTAATATTAGAGAACATATGTTTGTGGTGTTAGCGTATACATGGTTTTTAGTATGTCTTTCATTAGATTGATTTTACAATATTCTTATTTTTCTTTGCTATCGGTCTTTTGTCCTTTTCATTGCTCCTAGCAATTCAGCAAAAAATTGTTTAATTGTTATCAACATTTTCTTCTTTTCTCATTTTCCAAATGAATTTGGTTTGATGATCTTATTTATTTAAACGTGCAGGGATTTATGAAGCAACTTCTCTGGAACGAACCAAGAAGGATCCTATTCATCTTGAAGGTCTGCCAGATGGGGCTTTTGATAGTCAGATGCCATTGTCTCCTCTTCCCACTTAGCTTGAAGTATGTATTCAATAACCCCTATGGTGTTAATCCATTTTTTTCCCCTCTTAATTCTTTCTTACTTGCATTGCTCAATAAGTTGCTTTTGGGTTATGAAGAGGTTAGCTTTTCGATTGGTGGTATCTAATTATTTTGTCTGTGAAATTTGGAATTGAAGCTGATTAGCTTCAACAAGAAAATAAAGAAGAATGTGAAGAGAAAATTTTGTGAAGTCATCATAACTCTTTATCTGAAAAAGAAAAAGAAGAAAGTCATTGTCAAATTATTGAAGCATATTCAGAGTATTGTCAGTGACAAACCTTAGTTTATGTATACTTCTTGGATTAGATATTTTTTGTTTTGATCGGTTTGGATGAGGTCATTGAACGTTCATTAGGATAACATCAAGTTTTTGTTAGGTGAGACATGTATGTTCATGTCTTTGGATATTCCAATATTCTTTACTCAGTCACCATTTATTTCTTTTGATTTCTGATTGTTCTACTTTTTTCTTTATTTTATGTCTTCTGGCAACCCATCAGTGATCAAGTGTAAATGTATAAAGAAAAGAAAAGAATGTATAAATGTATTAAGTGTAAATATATAAAGAAAAGAAAAACAGTTGCCCAAGTTTCATCATAATTATCATCTAAACTTTATCCCAATTATTTGAGGTCCGCTACATGAATTATGTTCCTTCATTCTTCTTTATCAAGGGCCACGTAGGTTCATGATTCATAATAACATGTTGCAAAGTTTACACTGGCTGCCTACCCAACCCGACCCACCTCCTATACATGGACTTGGGATGGGTTAAGGGAAAGTTTAAGGTCCTCACCTTTTTTGGACCTACCTTGCCCAAGTCATCTGTCAATTTTTTTTGCAGGATTGAGCAGTCTTACTTGAAGTAGCTCAAAGGTGGACGTATGGTTTATCTGAAATCTCCAATGCTGCAAACTCTAAGGCTATCATGGATTATGAATTCATCGCATGATTAGTGGGGGTTTTCTGGTTACTGCCAAACAGAATCAGTTCGAAAGTTCTTTTACTTTTTCTCTTCTTTTTTTTTTTTTTGGAAACTTAGAGAATTTGTTGGGGCCATTGCTCTTACTGTATGTACAAAGCAATTCTTAAGATGAATATAAGTTAGATTTACTACGTTTGATTGGACAGATTCCTGGCACATATGTCTTTTGAATAGCATTCATAAGATCGTTGAAAGTGTTGGCTGATACGTTTCAAAATCTTCCTCCGTAAGGAAATCTCAGGCCCTCAATTCTTGTTTATCGAAGACCTCAGATAATGGAAAGCATATTATTGGGACAGGACTACACTCCAGGCAGCGAGAAAGTAACCTGGTCTTATATGCAAGCTAGACTTTGCAAAAATCTACAATAGAGTGGAATGAGACTATTTGAATATGAAGAAGTTGGTTTTATATGCAAGCTGGACTTCGAAAAAATCTACAATAGAGTGGAATGAGACTATTTGAATATGAAGTGGGTGGGCTTGGTGGTCGCTGCAGGTTTTTGATGAAGGACCTCTCTACAGCCCACTGTAAATTAGTGGGTTTCTTCAAAGCATCAAGGGGTATTCAGTTGGGAGATCATCGCAATGCCTTTATAGTTTACAATAGTGGCAGAATCTTTTAATTTGATACTTAAACCTGTATTCGAAAAAGGTGGGCCGGTTTTGTGGTATCACGAGATGGGCCTTTGATGTCACACTCGCACGAATACATTGGTTTTCTGTGATGCTGCATCCTGCAAGTCACAAACCAAAGCAGCTTCATTAGAAAATCAAAAGCAGTGGATGGAAAATTAACAGAATGATTGAATGTGCTTACTACTTTCCAAGAACTGAAAAAAATCTCGAGAAGCTTAAAAGATAATTAGCCTTTAGAAATCTGGGCTCAATATCACTAATTTTAAAACAGCATAGAGTAGACAGTAAAACTACTATGCTAATCTCTGTACTCAGTGGTCCAGTTCTTTAGCTTTTGTCGCCCCTATTTGATATCATCAGCGTATGAACTTTTGGATGATATGGTTTTTATTACCTCTATTTTGATATTTTGGTTTCAAAAACAATTAAAAGCGCATATACTATGCTCTTTCGTGAGCATGGTTTGCTTCTCCTCCCTAGGTTACCTCACCTATTTGGGAGGATTTTTCGATCTGAGATTTTGGGAACCACCCCAAAATCATTAGATGATAATTCTCAAAAGAAAAATTTTGAAATTTGAGGATTATTCTCAAATAAAAAAAATTTAAAATTTGAGTTTTCTAACACTTAGATATCACCCTCTGAAAACTAGACGGTTTGTATTCAATTTTGGGACTATCTTTTTTGGTTTTTAGTGGATTCAATTAGGAAATTCTTTTTATTAAGGTTAATCGGTGTTAAATACAAATTTTAAGGTCCTAAAATTCTTTTCGGGTGTTTAGAGGATGCAAATAGGAAATTCTTTTTATTGAGGTTAATCGGTGTTAAAGACATTTTGAGGTCCTAAAATTAATCCTTGGTGGGGTTTTACTTGAGGGTGTAAATGAACAGCCTGTGGGGGTGGAATATCTTTTGGCATTAATTACAATAATAGACAAAAAAAAAAAAAACTATATAAAGAGACTATTTTTTTTTAGATACTATCTTTTAATATAATGTGGTCACAATCTCTCTTGTGCATCAAATTTCAAATTGGCTGGTTGTGAATGTATGATTGATTCATTGTTCGTAAAATCGCCCGATCTAACCGCTAATCGTTCTGTTAGATCGGAACTGACTAGTGGCCGGTTCCGGTTTTGGGCAGTTAGGGTGATCAACCGGTATTTTAAAAATAAAAAATAAAAAAATGTATATAAATTCTCTAAAATAAGCAATTTGATTTGTAATGCAATTTTAAATTTTCTTTACATTATGGTAAGGATTACAAATTGTTTTGGTCACTAATACTCACTTTTATATGTTCCCATCTTTTTTAGAAAATTTTAAAGATAGTTCTTGGAAAATATAAAATAGGCTAAAATCCATTTTTTTCATTAATTTTCAACTTCATTTGAATGTGTTTTGTTTTAATCATTATTTATATGTTTTTTGTATTTTAGTAGTTTTTTTTATATTTTTATTTTTTTTCTACACTTTTTTGACCATCCAGGACTTGCCAGGTTCGAGCGGTTGAATAGGCCGGTTTATCGGTTAGGCCGGTTAAGCCGCTTTCAGGACCATGTCTAATTAACAGTTCCGATTCGATTTTACGAACACTGGATTGACTAGATCCTAAGTTCAAAAAAAATAATAACAAAAATCTCAAATTTTGTAACACAACTCAAGACATCCAATTTGACATAATTATGACATCTTCTAACAAAAATAAATGATCTCATACTATACAATCCCATAAATATATATTTAATAATTATGGCATATAGTATTCTGCTCCTAGTAGCCCTCATGCAAAACCCCATGAATCAGTGGAATCCGTAGCGGTTCGTTTTCCAACCTGAACTTAAGAGAGTTATTGTTGCCTCCAAGAGCGCCTTGGTCCTCTCCGAATGCCTAGCTACTTCGACAGTGTCGAGATTGCCTATTGTCCAAATGCATTCATTGTAAAATATATTTACCGGCCAGTCCTATTGGTGCAACTTCCCATTAGTATATTGAACAGTTTGGTCTAAAGTAAAAAATAGATTTGATTGAAAATCAATCAAAATCAATATTTGATTAGTTTTGTCCATATTACTCTACCAGTTTTTATTAGTTTGACCGGTCAAATAAATTTAAGCAATTTTTTTCATAATATAAATATATTTTTACACCATTAATTTTTTTTTTGTATATATATTTTTTGAAAAACATTAACAACTTTATTCAAATCTATAATAGAACCTTTACATCATCGCACAGGTCAAACCCCGGCTCAATTACATGAGAAAAGAAATAAAGAAAACCACTATTGCAAATAAACCAATTGCTCAGTACATTTATACAATTGTTAAACTTGTAGCAGTAACACCAGCTTTTGCAATACCGTCTGCCTCCATATTACTCTCTTTATAAACATGAACAACATAATGCTCAATATCCACATAGCAATCCACCAATTCACGAACCAAACTATGTAGTTTCCAAGGGTACTCTGCTTCCCCTTTTATCCATTTAACGATATTGATAGAATCCTCTTTAATGGCAATAGGTCTTTGGAACCTTTTTGCTAACTTCACACCTTGTAGAGCAGCCCTACACTCCGCTTCCTTTGTAGTTGCAGCCCCAACTGGTCCAAAGAATTTTAACAGTGTATTACCTCCACAATCCCTTATATTCCCATCAATACCTGCGAGGCCTGGATTGCTCATGGAACTACCATCAAAGTTTAGCTTTATCCACCCTTCTACGGTATATTTCCACATTCCCATTCTTATTTCTTTTGCTACACATTCCTTGATTAGCACATTCAAATTTTACATTGAATCTACCCTTGAAACGCCCCATCATTCCTTGTTTACCCCTAGCCATTCAGCCATGACAACTCTAATTTCTTCATGTAATTCCATTGCTGTTTTTGCTTTATTTTTAAAATATCTTTGATTTCTTTCCTTTCAAATCTCCCATAAGACAACAGCTTTTACTACCTTCCAAATAATTCTACCTTTCTTACTTAATCCAGCCACCAACCAATAACCAAACAAATCATCAATCTGTAAAGGGCAAATCATCAATCTGTAAAGGGCCATCCCCATTGAAACCAAGCCCCACTAAGGCCTTAGTCCAAACAAATCATCAATCTGTAAAGGGCCATCCCCATCGAAACCAAGCCCCACTAAGGTCTTAGTCCATACTTCCTTTGCATAACCACAGTGTATGAATAAATGGTGAACAGTTTCCTCATCCTGTTTGCACATAATACAAACATTAATAATAACTTTTTCTCTCTTTTCTCACAACATATCAACAGTTAACAATATCCTCAATTTCATCAACTATAAGAAAGTTTTGACTTTTAGAGGTATAGTCCATTTCTAGATTTTCCCTGCTGGTACATCCAACCATTTGATACGTCATTAAATAACAATTTAAAAGCCGAACTTACTGAAAAATTACCACTTCTGCTATGTTCCCATACTACCTTATCATCCAAATCAGGACAATAATAAAATTGTAGTACAAGTAAAAAACATTGAGCATATTCTTCGACTACCTCATTATTAACCTTTCCATAGGAACAACTGATGTCCCAATTTGAGTGAAAGTCCCGGTCTTCAACCATTTCACATGCACTGTTACTTTTAGAGTTTACTTTATCAAATAGACTAGGGAATTGTAGCTTTAGAGAACTGTCACCCATCCATTTTTGTCGTCAAAACCTCACATTTTCTCCTTTTTCAATTCAATTCAACTAGTTTGACCGATGGTCCGACCGGTTTTGACTGGATCAAACTTTGTTACTAGTTCAATGGCCGGTCTGATCCAAATAACACTATTGCAAAATACCAAAATCAATTTTCTATTTTTCTAGTAAAAAACTAGAATAATAAGTAAATAACATATATTTTGTATACAAAGAGATATACAATGTTTTTGGTTACCGTTGCCTTATCTTCATAATATACTTAACATATACCAAATTATTTACTAAAAAAACGCATCTACCAAATTATTTGATTTTGATGCTCATGTAGCCACAAACTTCTTTTACATTTCTCATCAAAATCCACCAACATGGGATGAAAAAAAAAGGAGTTAAGAACAATGAAAGGCATGAATACATCATGTCAATCAACCAATGGTAATGGGGCATTCTTTGTGGCATTATGCCAACATAATGCACTTTTGACCATAACTTTCCAAAGGTAGTCAGATTGAGGTGAGGTTTGAGCTCTTGGGAAATTTTTCTGATCCTTGAGATGGTGTTTTGGGATTTAATTAAGGAAAAAATTTATATAGAGCTGAGGCTCTAAATAATCAAATTTGAGCCTACCTAAAAATTGCACTAGAAAAGATTGTTTTGACGTTCAAATATACTCAAATTGATCATCTCAACATCAAGTTGCATAGACATGAGAGAAAAATAGATTTCAAGTTTTGGAAATAGTGTATTTTGTAAAGCATTTTAGACCGTCAATTTTTAAGATATTTAAGTTTTCATAGATCTATCGATCTAC